TGGAAGTCGCAGAGGGAACTCCCCCCTTAAGGGTTTCGCATAGAGTGCTGCAACACAGCAGTGCCCCTGCCAAAAAAAAAAAAAAAAAAGCTATGTTTTTTCTTTTACATTTATGTATTTCACGTTTGTTATATCATTTTTGACAATAGTGAGACAGAATCTCATGAATGAAGTTAGTTTGGTTCATCGTTTCATTTTCACTGTAAACTCTAATAATCTGTAGTTAGTCATGCAGATTAAGATGCAGTGAAACAGGACTAACTTGGTTGCTGTTCCTGTGGCGACTGGCTGCTCTCTGGTTTGGCCATGCCCTGTGTTTGTGTTTGAGGCTGTGTCTGGGTCTTTGAAAGGGTGCTAGTGTGTGGGCTCTGTCCCTTAGCCCAGGTCACCAGGCAGAACCCTGAGGATGGGCTGGCACAGGCAGACTCAAGTATTTCAGTCAGTGTTGAACATAGGGCCATCTTCTGCTCCTCTTCTAACAAACATAAAAAAACATCCTCAGTTTTGTTCGCAAAACACACACACAGAAAAAAAAAAACAACAGCCTATGTATAAGGAAGCTACCTGACATCTGTCTCCAATTTGAACTTTCTCTGCTAAAAAGGATGTTCTTTAAGAGGAAAGCCTGAAAAGAAACACATTTAGTTAACTGTAGCAAAAATGTTGTGTTCGATGATGATCAAGTATTTGATAGCTTTAAGCTTTGTCAATGGATTAACTGACGTTTAGGTGGTGGGAACCTTACCTGGACAGGTGCAATCACAGCACATGGTCCTCCTTCAAACTGCTTCAGAGCGGTTTGTTCATGCTCACTGAAAACAAACCCTGTGAGAGAGGAAGACTTGATTAACATGTACTCAGATTAAGGCACAGACAAAGATTATGCAAAACTATTTCTTTTAAAAAAGAACATAAAGAGACAGATTTAAAAAGTACAAAATAGTCTGCTAAACACTGGGTTATCAAAACACTAAAAAAGTAGAACACAAAGTACAACACAAAGTGGTTGCTAAACATTTAACCCTGTTTAACTGACAATGATAAACACAACAAAAGTCCTACCTTGAGACCACCTTCGGAAGATGGAAGCGGAAACCCCTCCTCCTGATGGTTTTCCCCAAACCAAATCTACCACCTCCTTATTTAACTCCGACATGATTGATTTAAGATCCTCAGCCACACCTTCCTCAGTCGAACCTTCATGCAGGGACAAGAGAGGTTGTCTGCTCCTAATGCCGTCTCTTGCTAACTGCAACTGTCCACTTCTTAGAGTAGCTTGTTCCTGTGGCATTGGCCACGAGCTCCCACAGTGCTCCCAATCCGTCTGAGTTTAGGGACTGGCAGCAGAGTCAGTGTGTTGTATGAGATCAATCTACCAAGCAACAGGACAGACATTAATCAGGATTTCTGTTTAAGTCATTAGAAAAAGAGGATAAACAACTATCTTTACTTTGTAAAAAAAAAAAAAAAAAAAAAAAAAAAAAAAAAAAAAAAAAAAGAATTCAGCCAGATTGCAGTTACAGATATTTAAATATTATAAATTTTCACAAAACAAAAATAGTCAAATACTTTCAAATACACAAATAGATCAAATATCCTAAGCAAACTCCCTTGGCCAGTTACATAAATGATCACTGCATTTTAAAGGTGCACCGATTGACCGGCCTTGATTTTGAGAGATCAGTGATCGGCAGATACTTAGATGGGAATCTGATATTTTCTGCCAATCTTATATACCTCTGCAAAGGTCTGAAAATCACCCACTGTCAATGCTCGAAACTTCAATTTATATTTGAGAGCATTTAATTCAGAAGATTTTATTGTTTCACAGGTACTGATTAATGTCTGATAAAGGCCTAAAGATGAAAATACAGGCCAATTAGTGTCTATTAACCTGCATTTATCAAAATATAAAAATGTATCAAAATGGAAAGAATGTATTTCAACCACTGCAAAAGGAATAACAGTAAAAAAAAATTTGCAATCACAATCTATCACAATGTCGACAATCTTCTTTTTAATCAAAGTTAAATTAAGTGTTTGCAATTTTGGTACAAAAAGACATTTAGCAATTTCCATTGGAAACTCCTCCATAATATCAGTTTTTGCAGTACTGTATATTTCAAATTGTATAACCTGCACACATTAAGCCTGGCATCACTTTAAATAGGCTTTATTACGCTTTCAGATTGTATTATATTTCCACTGCTGTACAACCGCTTTTCTAACATAGCTAATAATCTCAACTCAGTAAAACGGGGTTTCTGCTTCTGACATCACAGGTAATAATTCGGAAATAATTCTGATTTTAATTTGCTAAAATGTTAATCATTTTCGGGGAATTTGGTTATTGTGCTACAACATTTATTATTTATTTAGTTTTATACACATAAATCTTAAATTATTGTATTTGTATCATTTCAAAATGATAAATAAGATATGGAATCAAATTAAAAATTACAATCCATAATGTTAATGCAAGGACGGTACATAAAATGTTTGAACAATATACCAAACCTGGCGCGAACTGGGTTGTTTGAACACTTGAACATTCATTCTGCTGCCAAGCTAAAAGGCTAGGTGTAGCTAACGACGTCAGGTGGTTACAATATTGACGGAGGGAATAAATAAAACTGAGCAAACGGCTAACGGTTTCTTACAGCGTGGTAATAGAAAGAAAATGATATTTCGGTTAAAAATGGGCTTGGCATCATAAAGCGTTAGCATTACCATTGCAGCTAACATTACCTTGCTCTATCATTTTATTTCTTGTCACTCCGGAGGCGCTGACACAACGCCTATTACCGGTTATTTATTCAACGTGGTTGTTTTACACTTACCGACAAACCGATTCGGGTATCAGAGGGTCAGTTTTTTCTTGAAAATTTTCCCATCAGTTTCATTTCTGTCATTCGTTTATTTACAGCAAATAGTAAATTGAAGAAAAAAAACACTTCTGCGTGCATAAGGCGTATTGCACCATTGGTTGAAATCGAGAAAGTTCCAGGAGCGTCACAAGGCGTAGCCTTGATGCGTTTCCAGATTGGTCAACTCACTTGTCAATCAAGTCAAGCCTCAGCAGAAATTCAATTATTTTTGAAAAACACAGATTTAAACAGTTTTTGGTTTCTTTTCTGAAGCAAGAGCCATGGAACTAGATCTGTTATATTTTAACTGTTTGGTTTCCGAAACTATTGTGTCCAATAGAATTGGTATTTTGCTCCTTATCGCTTTCCGTAGTTTTGACAGTCCTTCACAGTCTGACGGGGAATAAGTTGGTTGAAAAAAAACTCGGGGAGGAGACATTTTTCCACTCATCTCGGTTGCACACGACTAACCAAAGCAATTTAGGCTGGTGGATGCACAACCAAGTATTCATAATATTCATTAGATTCCCTGACAATTTTAGACAATATTCAATTAGATATCATAAAATTATCAAAGTAGCTCGAGATAGGCACCGGCACCTCTCGCGACCCCGGTTGGGATAAAGCGTGACAGAAAATAGATGGTTGGAAAATGATCAAAGTAGGGTCCGAAGCTTATACCAGAGATGAAAAAGACATCCAGTGCATGCAATGGCAGCTGCACCATTTGACGAGTGTACACATCACGCCCACAAGGAGAACCGATAGCTTCATCGGATGAAAAATGAGGCGCACCCAGTTTCAGTCCCTACCGCATGCGTGTTGCATGCCGCTTGCATTAAACAACGCATGAAGTAAATGTGGGAAAAGCGTTTCTTTTAAAAGTCAAAGCTAGCTGTTAAGACACGCAATAAATTGTATGAAACATTATGGGCGGACAGGCTAAGACCAAGAAGAAAAACAAACCCAAGAAGAAAGACAGCCGTCAAAACAGGGGTCAGATTATGTGTTTTTGTTAGTCTTTTTCCTGTAGGATTTCTAAACATAAGTGGCATGGATTCTGAATAGCAAGTTCTTATCCAGGTTTAAGTGCTTTGGTTTATATTTGAGATTTCATTTTTATGTTTCATCCCGACAGATGGAGGATTTGTTGATTTGTCGCCTCAGGAAAGGATGAGGGTGAGAATGCATGAGAAAGCCAAGAAGAAGACAGCTGAAAAGTACTCAGTACAGCAACTCCTAGAGAAGGTGATTTTGAAAACAAATCACTGTAGACAGTCGCTGGAAATCTTCACTTAATTTAATTTCTCTTTTGTGTGCAGACCCAGGAATACATGGATAGTTTTGACTTTGAGATGGCCAGCCTTTTCTGTCAGAGAGCCCTGGATGTGGACTCAAACAACCTGCAAGCTCTTGACCTGCTGGGCAACATCTGCTCCGAATTAGGAGACATGGAGAAAGCTAAATCAATATCCTTTTTGATTTTATTTTTCATACATATTTACAGCTTAGTTATCAAAGCATTACAAAACATGATTCTGACCTGAAGTGGGAATGAGTTGGGCTTCCTTTACCAAGGTCTAAGTCTTTCTCCGCGCAATTGATCTGAGCCCAGATGTTGGCCACAGTAAATATATGTATCTGGGACAAATTCACACTGGCCTGGAGGCTGTGGACTACTACACAAGAGGAATACAGGTCCTTCTCTCTGCACTTGGGAAGCAGGATGCTATGGTGAGGGAGAACTCTGTCCATACCCTTTAAACCTATTCCTACATTTTGTCATAGTACAATAGCAAAACACATGGTATTTTATACATATTTTGCATGGCAGACCATTTCAAACTAGTGTTTAATTATAAAGTATTAGAAATTAGAAAGTATATGATGCATACTTTTTGAAATATTTTAATAAGATAAGATAAGATAAGATAATCCTTTATTTGTCCCACAGTGGGGAAATTGCAGCGTTGCATCACAGTACAGTAGGAAAAAAGAAGAAGAAGAATACAAAGTATAAAAAAAATATTTAAAAATATAAAAAAAAAAAAAAAGATTTACAAAAAACAGGTTTGTGGCATAGATTTGTATTAAGGCCTTCTGGGTTAACAGACTCGGTCTTTGCTTTAACAGCTGCAGCTCTTTTGGTGGTATGTCTGTACTATCTTTGCACTTCTAGAGACTATTTTTAATTTTAGTTCATCTTTACACAACATCTCAAACTGAGACAGGAAATATGTAAATATCTATATTCATGTCTTGATAGTTTTACAATAACATTTAGGTCTTCATCTGGCCAGGCCATTCTAACAAAGAAACATGATTTGAAACCTTATACACCTCCTGAAACAACAGACAGAAGACTGTTTCACATTGCTAAGGTTGAATGATGGAAAACCCTGTCCAGGCTCTGGGTGGAGAACCTTGGTTATGATGAATATTTCCTGCACCCCTTGCTTGGAACTATAAACAGGACTTCAATGAGTTTGGTGTAAACGGCCAAACAACTTTATCCCTTATCTACCTGTTTTAGAAAACATGATGGTGTTTGTCTACCAATGAAATCCAACAAACATATTTTGTATTGACCAATTGCTTTTTTTTTTTTTAGCTGGATTTTAGTTTGTCAGAGGAACTACACTGCTCTGAACCGGAGACAGTTAATGATAACAGTAGGGGAATTCAGTGGTGTTAATGTGATAGAACTGGGGAAAAAAAGCAATGGATGTGAATAGGTCCTGAAATGAAACATATGTGTTTGTTTACTTCTGTAGTTTTTACATAAACAATGTTAAAAGTGACATTCTAGTCAATATTCTAGATGCCATCCATCCATCCATCCATCCATCCATCCATCCATCCATCCATCCATCCATCCATCCATCCATCCATCCATCCATCC